TTTCAGAAGTGGATGGCCAAACCTTCTTCCCAGTCTGTCTTAATGTGAATGTTCAGATTTAGAGAAGTATCAGACAGACCAGTGTGGCGTTAACTTTAGTGTCAGTGTTGTCCCTGGCTTTCTCACACACGTCTTTAACCACTTATTTCCCTGCTCCACCATCCACCAGGATACCCATCCACTTCTACCCCCTCCCTTCACATCTATATCCCTTTGACCAGCCCCATGCCGGTCCATCTTATCTCGCCAATACCTAATGTGTCAATATTTATGCATTCTGCTTCTTCCTTAACAATATTCCATTTTCCTACATTCATGGTTCTCACATTTCATGTTCCAATCACTAGTGTTTTCTTACCACTGGTCCTCCTCTGTGTTTCCATACTTGAGAGCTTCACCTCAGTTGCCCTATCTGCTAGTCTAAGTGTGTTCTATTGTACAAAGGGTTTTCAGAGGCCTGCTATTTTGGAAGTGGATGGTCAATCCTTCTTCCTAGTCATCTTAATTTGAATGCTCAGATTTAGAACAGTATATGATAGACAAGCATTTTACAGAAAAGAGCAGATGAAAGATATTTCCCCAATTATAGAAATAACCAATAGTTTCAGTGTTGTCCCCACCCTTGACACATGTGTCTTTATCCACTTATTTCCCTGTTCCACCAACATTCCCTCTTACACTGACCTACTCCCTTCAACACTTATCTCCTGCTATCCAACCCTTGTTATGATAGCTTATATCGCAAGCTTTCTGGGCTTCTGAGAATGAATGTTTCAAACTGCTGCCAGTTTCTTATGCTTTGGCCAGTGTCTCTTGAGTTTCAGAGTCTGTAAGTCCAAACGCCAGGTACTAATGTTAGAGAATGCTTTGTATCTTGGATGGTTTTGAGGAAAAGTACTTTCCCTTGAATCTCTGCTTCAGGTTTGACTTCTATGGCTTAGGGCCTCTTCTCTTCCATTTGTAACACACTGTAGTCACAATGAAATAGTTTCCCAAGGGTAGATGATGTAGATCTGGTATATATTGTTGTTTTCTCTTCAAAGAATTGCAGGCTCCACCTTGATCACAGGCTTCTGGGAGACTGCATCTGTTTGGTGGTGGTGATGGGTAAGCTGAGTCCCTACCTAGTGTCCTTGTCTTTCCTCCTATACCTCCTCTTCCCTGCCACACTGTGTTCTGCCTCCCCTGGAGGCATATATTCACAAATAATTCCACTATAAGTGCTATCTGTATGACAATAGATTATGAGAGAATGGGCTAATCTACATAGGTATATTTACTTAAAGTGGAAACATGAGGATTTTGAAGAGGATGAGAAGATAACGAAACTGAAGTTAAACTAGTATTTTATGATGATTATAACTATACAAACACATGAATACAAATAGAAATTCATTGGAAAAGTTATATAAAATGAAAATTGTTAGAATAATAAGATTATCATCACTCTTTCTTTTCCAAATAAAAAAAGTGATGCCGAGGGGAACTTCACAAAAGCCTAAAGAAAAATCTGTATGTTAAGTCGCAAAGAAGCAAACATGTAGACGTGCTCAAAGCACTCTGATTTAAAATAGATTTAAATATTTTTAAATTTTATTTTATTATTTGTGTGTGTGTGTGTGTGTGTGTAGCATCAAATCAGATCTGACCGGTATAGGAGGATATTGTTCCTCTTTCTCCAGCACAGCATCTGGTGGATTCGATCCATACACCTCTGGGATTTCAATGCAGTTTCCTGCCACTAGGCCACCAGAGCTCTCTTCAAATAAATTTAAAATACTTCTTGGTAACTGAGGAGAGTGGCTAAGGAGAGTTGGGGTAAGTTGAATGAAGATGGAGAAGAGAAGTGGGAAGAAAAAACAGAGGAGAAGTTTTATTAATTTGAAGGTCCCCTAGTCTTCATAGGTGACCCATGGTTCTCGTTATGGGAACTTGATGTCACAGAGGACGCTGCATGGAGTGGGTGGGAGAGTTGGACCACAGCAACCACTTGGTCCTGTTCCCTTGACACTGTCCATTTGGTACCAGGGATGTGACTGCTCCACGTTGAACCATGACTCTAACAGGGTCTCAGGGCTTCTCTGAAGTGGAAGATCTGAATATAGACCACAGCAGAGGAGCCAACCACGTTTGCTTTTATGCACACCCTTGGTTTCATTGACACATTAACCACAGGAGAAGGGGGAAAGACTACAAGGTGTGGGGTTAGCACGAGTGGGGACAAATAAAACAAAAATAAAACAGCATCAGTATTGCATAGTATTTCCATAGTTCCACACTCACCCCAAAAGCCCCTTCTTACCACAGGAAACACACTGACCCTTGGCGGATAAAAGGGGCTTGTGAGGAGCTGGTTCTTCACTACTACTTGCTCAGCTCAGCCAGACTCAGTCATGAAGCTCCTCATCCTGGCCTCCCTTGCGATCTGCTGCCTCACTGCCTACGTCGTGGAAGGTAGGTTGAAAATTTCTTCTTAAGGGATGAGGTGGAAAGTCTATGGACACATGATTTTTTTACTTGAGTAAACTACCTTTCTAAGGCAAGTCTCATACTTCTCATGAGCAAAATCAGAATTTTTACTGGAGGGAACTCTGTACACTCCCTAAACACAGAGAATTCAGAACCCTGGCTCCCACCCTTCTTAATCTGGAGATTGGTGGTACATTTGTCAAGCTCATTGTACCTAGGATTTCTTGTCTAGAAACTGAATATAGCAATGCATATTCTCATCTGGGATGAAAATGAAGTTGTGCCATCATTTATCAGGTTTCCTTGCAAGTGTTAATTTATGATTGTTATCTGTGAAATGGTGGTAATGATTATTATGTATCTTTATAACTGTTGCCCATTTACTATTGACCTTGATAATTTCTGAAGAGTTTCGAGAGCTTAGACACATATTAGAGGTGGGCTAGAGTGTTAGTCCTGAACAAATCAATGCTTTTTACTAAAAACTGAACAAAGGAAAGTCATGTCTAGGAAATCAATATCACCTTCAAATGTGTAGAGAATCTATTATTACTGTCATGAATGTTGTTACTATTTATGCTCTGTTTTTTGACTCAATTCTCTTTGTTTAAAAAGATAGTTGACTAATCGAGCAAAGTGGCAGGATACAGGATCAACATACCAAAATCAATTGTATTTCTCTACAGTGACAAAGAGAATATAGAACTGGAGCTAAGAAAAACAATGCCCATCACAATAGCTAATCACAAGATTAAATACATGGGAGTAATTCTAACTAGAAAGACAAAAGATCTATTCAAAGAAAATGACAAAAAATTACTACAAGAAACAAAAAGAGTATCTTCCTCTGTGAAAACTCTTTCCCTGACTTTTGCCCACTGGGTTATCAGTCTTTATCTTGAATACCCACTGGTATTCTGTAAACTTTTCTTATAAGACTCTTGTCTGTGATGGTATTACGAAATGTTTGTTCTCAGTCTGTAGGTCTTCTTTTCACCCTGTTGGAAAAAGTTTTTCACTTTGTCTCTTATGGACATTATGGTTTTGGGCTTTACTTCCAGATATCTGATCCACCTTGAATTGATTTTTGTGTATGGTGTAAGAAGTAGATCCTGTTTTAGCTTTCTGCAGGTGGAAGTCAGTTTTGCCAGCATCATTTGTTGAAGAGGTTTTCATTTTCCCATTTGATATCTTTGATTTCCTTGTCATAGAGGAAGATATTCAAATGGCAAACAGACACATGAAGAAACGCTCCAAATCACTGGCAATAAGAGAGATGCAAATAAAAACCACAGTAAGGTACCATCTCACTACAGTAAAGAGTGGCAAAGTTTAACAGGACAGCAAGTAATAGATGTTGGAGAGAAGAACTCTTATACATTGTTTGTGGGATTGTAAAATAGTGCAACAATTTTGGAAGGCAGTTCGGCACTTCCTCAAAAAGCTGAACATAGAAATTCCATATGGCCCAGCTATTCCACTACTTGGAATACACACTGAGAATATGAGAACTGAGGCATAAACTGAGATTTGTACACCAATGTTCATAGCAGCATTATTCACCATAGCAAGAACATGGAAACAGCCCAAATGTCCAACCACAAACGAATAGATTGAGAAATTATGGTACATTCACACAATGGAATACTATGTAGCATGTAGGAGCAATAACTTCGTAAATTATTACCTAATTTGGGAGGGACTAGAGAGCATTATGCTGAGTGAACTAACTCAGTCCCACAAGGTCACATATTATTTAAGACTGATATTGTAGAATGAGTATAAGGATCCAGGATGGGTAGGAGAGGCTGGAAGCAGAAGGATGTGGATGTACAGGGGGAAGAGGGATTAATCATTGGTTGGAACCATTTGATGGATGTGGAGGTGAGGGAAATTGAAAGAATTTGTTCCAATTTGTATTAGAATTTTGTAAATAAACTAGTGAGAAAAAAAGAAAAAGAAGCAAAAAGAGACCTGGAGAAATGGGTGTATATACCTTGCTCATGGAAAGGAAGACTTAATATTGTAAAAATAACAATTCTACCAATGCAATCCCTACACAAATACCAATTCCATTCTTCAACGAGATGGAAAAGGCAAGCTCCAATTGAATTTGGAATGGAAAGAGACGCAGAATAAGCAAAGCACTCCTTATAAAAAGAGAAACAAGGATTTGAAATCGGGGAGTGAGATGCCTCCTGCCTTGCTTCTCTGTTTAAGGAGTGCTTTTCTTGTTCGGGGCCTCTTTCCATTCCAAATGAAATTGGAGATTGTCTTTTTCATTTCATTGAAGAATGAAATTGGTATTTGTATTGGTATTGTATTGAACATGTAAATTGCCTTTGGTAGTATTGTCATTTTCACAATTTTGAGTCTTCCTATCCACGAGGAAGGTATATTCAGATGAGAGAGAGAACTGTTTAAAAGGAATATAGGATTAGGTTTTATTTTCATGAAAAGATTACAGAAAAAGAAATGCATATTAATGTGGCCATTGGACTGGGGGGATTATATTCAATGACAGAATATTATTTTTTTTCAAAGAGAAAAACAAACTAGGGGGTGGGGTGGGCAGGAAGGAAAATGTGCAATAATGAATGAATGGGGTAAAAATTAAATGGAAAGAATATGCTCTGTGTGTGTGTGTATATATATATATTGTTGTTGTTGTTGTTAAGTGCCATCGAGCCGCAGGCAACTCATAGCAACCCTATGAAGGAGAGTCCTCGATGCTTGGGTGCCTTTCATTCTCTCTCCAGATATATAATATTACAAAACCATTTAAAAAAGGGGGAAAAAAGAGTAAAGAGTACCCCTGATTTCAAATCCCACTACACTGCCATAGTGGTCAAGACAGTGTGGTACTGGTACAATGACAGACACATAGATCAATGGAATAGAATTGAGAACCTAGAAAACAACCCATCTACCTATTGTCAACTGATTTTTTACAAGGAGATTAAATCATTTAAGTGGGGAAACAATAGCCTTTTTAACAAATGCTGTTAACAAAATTGGAAAATCATTTGCAGAAAACTCAAGCAAGACCCACACCTCACACCATACACAAAACCCAACTCAAAGTGGATCAAGGACCTAGGACTAAAACCAAGTACTATAAACTTCATTAGAGAAAATCTTGGAAGACCCTAGAAGCCCTAATCTACAACATGAAGAATCTTCCAAGAATCCTGAAAAACCTACAACCAGGAGAGGATAAAATAGATGAATGTGGCCTTGTAAGAACCAAATCCCTATGCACATCCAAAAACTTCTCCAACAAGGTAAAAAGGGAAGACACAGACTGGGAAAAAAATATTTGGTAATAACATGTCTGATAAGGGACTCATATCTAGAATTTATAGAATACTTGGGCAACACAACAAGATAAACATAAATAACCCAATTGCATAATGGGCACAGGATATGAACAGACAATTCTCCAAAGAAGACATTGAGATGGTGAGCAAACACATAAAGAAATGTTCAAAATCCCTAGCTCTAAGAGAGATGCAAATCAAAACAACTATGAAATATCATCTCATCCCAGTAACAATAGCAAAATTCAACAAAGCAGCAAACAACAAACACCGGCGAGGTTGTGGAGAAACTGGAACCCTTATTCACTGTTGGTGAGAGTGTAAAATTCTGCAACCACTGTAGAAGGCAGTATGGAACTTTCCAAAAAGGTGGAAATAGAAATACCGTTTGACTCAGAAATTCCACTACTGGGAATATACCCTAAAGACACCAGAACTGCCATCTAAACAGATATATGCATACTCATGTTTATTGTGGCTTTGTTAACAATAGCCAAGAGCTGGAAACAACCCAAGTGCCCTTCAAAAATTAATGGATAGAGAAATTGTGGTATATTCACATAATGGAATATTATACAGTACTGAAAAAGAACTCATGAAATATTGTACAAAATGTGTGACCATGGAGGAAATTATGGTGAATGAAATACCTTAGTAAAAAAAAGACAAAAACTGCATAATGCCACTGTTATAAAACGGGACTGACATGGCGGCTGGGGGCAACTAAGAAAAGAGGGGATAAATAATGTATATGGCATTGAAATAGATGAGGGAGAGAACTGTTTAAAAGGAATACATGATTAGGTATTATTGGCATGACACGATTCCAGAAAAAGAGCTGCATAGCAAAATGGTATAACAATTTAAGAACTTTTTTTTCCCCAAAGAAAACGTGAACTGGGGAGTGGGCAGGGACGAAAATGTGCAACAGTGTATGAATGGAAATCCAAGTTCTTTATAAACTTTCATTAAAATCTCAATTAAAAAATGTTCAAAGAAAAAAAAAAGATAGTTTCTAGGAGGGAGCTCTGGTGGCCTAGTGGTAAGAAGCTGTGCTGCAATCCTGAAACAAACAGTCCAAATCCATCAGATGTTCCTCTGGAGAAGGAGGGGCAATCTCCTCCTGTGCGGATCCGATCCCATTCAGCAGCATACAACAGGAAACAAAAAAGATAGTTTCTTGACTCTATTTTGTTTAAAACTATAGATTTTTTAAAAACAATAGTTTCTTGACTCTTTTATTATCATACAAGAGACTATGATAATAAATTCTTGCAAATAGATCCATGCCTTGCACATGGCCAAGTCAAATAACCCTGGAAGCCAGAGCCAGGTTACTGTTTGCTTTGTCCCATAGATCTTGAAAGATGGCTCTTACTCTCAAAAACTCACTGCCATGCAATTGGGGCTGATCCCCAACTCTCCCTCCATTGGATTTTCAGAGGCGCATGTGAGGAGATGGACAATAGTTATCTCTTGGAGCTTCTGGTGAATTTGACTCACCAGAGAGGCACCACCTCTGTACTAACAGCACAACTTCCTAAGGACTGTGCCGTCTGTTCCCGCCACCACCACTTGTTGCATACGATTGAGTTAGAACAACTCATAGCTGACCATCCAGTAGGTTTTCAGAGACAGTAGATAGTATGGGAAGAGATCACCCAT